ACACACACACACACACACACACACACTGGACACACTCACGCGCGCACGCACACAGACACACACGCGCACACACACACACACAAAAGCGAGATAGGAAAATATAAAAAAGTCGTCCATTGTGATACTAAGATATATTAAACGAGAATTAGGTGAACACGTGCGCTCAAGGAGATGGGTGTGAATGAAAGGGGGCGCGACACAGAGTGTGCCAGGCTGAAATGCGAGTGTAATTAATGGAAACGATGGTCGATCGCGGGGCATGCGTCGGATCTACAAACTGTGATACACCGATAACCACACCGAGGAAAGCCTGATGTTCGATCACTGACGTGTTCGAATCGCGAGTACCAACCTATCTGCCAACAAAAGTGGGATGAATCGCCGGTTATAAATCCCGTTCTCGGCCACTTCGTGATTCCTTCGTATTAGGTACGTATTAGTTTTGCACTCGTTTCCTATTAGTTGGTATCGTGGCAATCGACTCGCAAGCAACAGCAACGTTAGGTTGAACAGTTTAGGTTAGATATCAATTAACGATATTTAATTATCACTTTTGTCCTAAACTACTCGTTGCCCCGTACGACGAATATAATTATTGATGTTTCACACGTGCAGAACGTAAAAAAAAATTCAAATTAAGACAAGCTGTTCTAAAATTATTCAACGCAAGCTATTACGGGTCGATCCACCCACGACCCACAGATTCTAATAGGGGATTTATATTCTAATGACTAGTTGGCGTGTGAGTTCAGAAATGATTCATATGTCAATAGCAACACCGCCGAGCTCTCCTTTCTTTTTTGCTTTCGTTAACGATCTACCTTGGCGATGTTTTCAATAGTGTTTACTAGTAAATGAACGTGGATCGGAGGGTAATTAAAATTAGGCGGAGAATCGTTGAGCGAAGAGCAGGAAGACTCCGCGTGAAAATTAATTAGCTACCGCCTCTGCGTCCACAGTTTTCTATTTATTCTTCCGTTTCTTTTGTTTACCGACGAGCGATGCTCGCGTTCTGAATTCTTCTGAGTCGCTTCTCTAGTTAAAGTCAACGGGATAGTTAGAGAAAACGGGATAAATATTTGGAATATAATTGCTGGGAAGCTTCCTCTTTTTTTCCCCCCCTCTTCGTTGCTCGAACACCCTTGACTCTTGTTTCAGTGTTATCGTTGCAAATGAGCCACGCAACTCGAAAACGTTCCCGTGGCCACGGAACGCGAATCAACACGGTGCTCGTATCAACGATAAAAATCACGTGTATCAAGTGTCGCGTGGAGGACACGCGAGACTCGTGCCACACGAGTTTGACCGGATCGTTGAGTTTCTTTGGAAATAGGAAAAACGTTGATTCGAGCTTGTCACCCAGGCTCTTAATCGTATGCACGTCGCATGAATAAGTCATTCAAATTCATTCAAATCCACTCTCATTCTGTTCCGAGTGCCACAGATCCTTTTACACGATTGAACTAATATTATTACCGAAAGTTGCAAAGTACCAACATCAATCAAAGAAAGACCGCTGAAAAGAAGGAAGAAGAGACATTCGTAGAGTAGCGATGATGCAAGCAATGAAAATTTCTAAACTACGAGTCGTTTGTTTGTCGTGAAACTGCAAAATTGTGAGTTTGTTTCAAACTGTTTTAATTCTTGTGAATTTTCTTCGCGCACGATGAAAATCTACTCAACGATCAAGCAATCAACGAGAAAGCAATCTGTTTTTTGTGTGTGTAAACATCGGTTGAGAATGTGGAGCAAAGTTTTGTCGCGGCAGGTTTCGTTGTGGGAGGGAATCGATTTTGAAAATTCGTCTAGTACGCGTGCACTTGGCGAAGAACAGGTTGGACGAAATGGAGCAGCAGCTCGACCCGACATCGTTCTACTTGATTTTTATTTCTGCGACTAATGAAACGGTGTACGCTATGAATAATTAAGGCTGCGTTCTTTTAAAACGGAAAGTGGCATTACGCCGCTGTTTGCGGAGGAGAGGGGACAGGTGAACGAAATTTAGAAACACTCAGTTGGTCGTTTATTCATACATTTTCTCAACAATTGAATAATTTAAAATGTTTCATCCAAGTACTTGAATTATCCTTATTTGAGTAAAATTATCGTGCCAGACAGGCGAGACACGACCAAGTACACGTGTATATAAATGACCATCAAAAATTAGAATGAACTCGAATTTCAATAAAATAGTTATAATACGCGTGTATTGACCATAGGTATGAGGAGTTGTAGGTTGAGTTACATTTGTTGTGTTCTATTTTATACGACACAAGTAACGAGCATACGATTGGCAATGTCTTCTCTCGATCCAACTAAGAGTAAAAGACTTTTGCCTTTTTCTTTTCCAGTCAGTCGAACCGCGTACCGCCGCAACGCAACAGACGCAGAGACACGACATTCAAGATCGAACCTTGGGTGGCGAAGCAACAAAAAAAAAAACACCAAAAAAAAAAAAACTTGTCGTTAACAAAAGTTGATTACGAACGGCGATTGATGCGAGTCAAAGTGACGTTGATCGACGTGGAAGAGACCGAGTAGTAGGCGAAGAAGCGGTCGAGTAGTAGGTGAAGAAGCGGTCGAGTAGTAGTGAAGCCAGGCGCGAAGAGAGGAGAAGAAAGTTTTCGTGCAGCGTCGCCGAGGCAGTCACCAGGCATCGTGTACCACCCCCTGGCCACGGGGGGTGGGACAGAAAGACCGTCAGCGTGGGTGCCGGTGCTGCAGGGGCGCGCCTGGCCCGTCGGCTCGCCCGCAGATTAGCACGCCGATTAGCGGCTAGCTCGGGCCCGTTTCGGCGTACCGGCCTGGCGACCTCGGGGGGCCTCACGTCCGCGGCGGTGGCCGTGGCGGCCACGGGGGAGCAGTCCGCTCCCCCAGCAGCTGCGCCACGCCATACCACGCCGAACGGAAGCGCCAACGGATCAACCTCGAGCTCCAATCGCAAGAACAGAGCCATGTCCATGAGGAGCCTGCACCGGCGCGTCTCTCACCCGTAAGTCCCTAAATTCCTTACTTACAATTAGTTCGCCTTAGTTTTGCTGATCCCGCTGCAAGACACGCGGCTGACACGCCGGATCGGATCGAAATTCCTAGAGATACGGAATCCCAGAGATACGGTAAGCTCGCCGCTCCTCACCGCTCCACACCGTTCCAATTACGTTCGAACGTAGGAATTCTACGCCTGTTTTACGAGAGTACTTGCCGATCATATTTTCAAAACATTCCGGATGTAATGTAACGGAAGGTACTTACGCTTCCGTCGGATTTAAACGATTTAGAGATGTAGAAATTTTCTTGCGTTTGAATTTGATGAGAGAAGGAACCTATTGACGGCTCGAACTGATCGGTTCGTTAAAGCAATTATCTGGTAAAGATCCGGATTCGTGTAACAGTTCGATAATCTGGTTCTTTTCTTTCTTCTTTTTCTTTTTCTTTTTTTTCTCTTTCCTTTGCCAACTGAAGACGAAGGAAAATGGTAGAGGAGAGTTTTGAATGGTTTAACGCGGTCTAATTTCCTGTATCCGAACTTCCCCCAGCAACTGAGATTCCACGGGCTTTCACAGAGAGCCAGAGATTTTTGCGTTTAAGATTGTTAAAGGTTTTCTGTTCTGTTTCCCGGCCGGGAAATCCATTTGTCGTTTCTCCAATATTACAACCACATTTGTACGTTTCTGTCGAGTCGAAATTGTTTCTGTATTTACGATAATAATTTTCAATCTCAGATGAAAATGACAAAAAGAGCTAAGG